GAAGGCAGATCTCAATGAAATAACCACCCAAATGGCTAATTAATTACTAAAATGATGAGTGCGTCTTGGGCCGGATGCCTTCCACAAAGCAGAGTTCACCGCCGGGGTCCACTCATGTGGTTCTTGGCCCGGCCCGGAAGAGAAATGGGTTATTCTGACTTGAAGTGGGGGTTGGAAGAGTTCACAACCAGAAGGAGTTGTTTCTTTAGTCCCGGACTCTGGGACCGTAAAGATTCATTTCACCTCTTGCCTGTCTTCAGAGCATCTAAGCGACAGAACTCCGTCTCCATGTCTAACAGCTCCGGGGTAGTTCCTCAACAGCTCTGGTCTGTCCTGCGTCTCGGAAAACCCTGGCCAAGGTCAACTGGAAAAGAGGCCCTTGTGACCCAACATTTCTACAAAGCTCACTTGACTGAGTAATGAGTCAGCTAACAGGAAAAATCAAGTCAGAGATGGCCCTGTGTCTGGGAAGCCTAAGCGTAGGGTCACAGGAGGCTGTGTGCGTGGCCTGGGGGGAGGGGGAGGGGGAGAGGCCAGCCTCCCGGAGTGTGCTCCAGGGCCCCTGCCTTGGAGAACTGAGGGGCTCTGTCCTGCACGAGGACATCAAAAGCACAAAGTACAAAGAAGCATTTGTGCTGTGTCCCAAGGATAAACTCTTGCAGAGTTACTCACAGGGAATGATTGTCATTAAGATCTTGTCATTGAAGTGTTTCCATTTCTCAGTGCCCAGGACAGATAACTCTGAGCTGGTGCAGCAGGCTCGGAGGCAGAGGGCACCCCCTCACTGCATGGAGGCACGCTGGGGGAGCGAGAGGACAAGGAGGTACTGTGCAGAGCGAGCGGGGGTAAAAACACAGGCTTGCTGGAGGTAAGGAGACAGCGCTCAGAGCTAAGTTATGGGAACTATTATTTGATCAGATTTTTAAAAAATAATCTGAGACATTTCAACACTTATTGAGCAGCCCCTGGGTGCCAGGCACTAGGCTGGGCAACAGGGCCCAAGGACACATGCCCTTGGGGAGAGAACTGCCTATTGAGGGGGTCAAGTGTGGGCCCACGACTGGGGAACAGCATGGAGCAGAGGCAGGTACAGGATGCTCCGGGAGGCCAGGAGACATCCGGCCAGCACCGAGACATTGTTGCATCTGGGAGGAGCATCGAGACATTGTTGCACCTGGGAGGACTTTCATTTGAGTCCAGGTGGTGGCTCACTGGCACTTGCAGATGGAATATTCATGGATGAAAACAGTCTCCAGTGAGTAACCTGAAAGGTCCCTGTCAGGAGTTAATTTGCTGAGACATAAATCTGAATGGCCTGCTCAGAGGGCAGGTTGCACTGCCAGCTGCTTGGCTAGAGAGTGGACCACGCCCAGCGCCTGGCATCTGTGCCCCAGCACAGCTTAGCTCTTCTCTTCTCGGCGACATCTATGGAATGATTCTCATACTGGCTTTAACTTTTTTCCTTTGCAAAGTCAGGGAACTATGGAGTTAATAAGGTCCAGATGTCATAAAGTAAGGAGTTTATTTTAATGGCAAAATTTATTTAAGTAGCTTTAGGAATTACCCTTGGCCCCACAGTTATAGAACCATTAAAGAGTCCCTTACATTTTTCCAGTTACACTTTACTGCTTTTTATGGTGGAAATTATATGTCATGGTGACATTCATGACTTTGGAGACTCGTGAAGGTCATGGGTGAACCCTTTGAGAATGTCAAGGGTTCAAGTCTGTGAATAATGAGTTACATTTTATTGGCACTCTAGTGGATAGAACATGGTCTCACTTTAAGTTTGGGGGGGGGATGTCTTTTCCTTTATATGATTTTCCTATAATTTGGGGAAGGTGAGTGGGTCCACCCTGTTTAGGAAGGCTGTGCGTGTGCTACTGGAAGACAAAGGACAATATTTATGCACAAGATTGCACCCTGACAAGTAACTCAGATCAGCAGAGATAACTAAATTCCCCCAATTGAAATGCTTTTCTGTTGGTCTGTCTTCTGGAACCTAATAACCTCTGAAACTCAAACTCTGGGCCCTGCCCCCAAATACCCTCCAGGTTCCTCGGACTCAACGTACGAACACGCCACCTCAATCGCTGTCCCCTCCCATCTCCTTGTTTTGATGACCAGGATCACATGAATGTATGTGCTGAAGGCTGAGGATTCGGACGGAGTGGGCCAGACTCTTCCCTCAACATCTCATCCGTTACCAAGTAAATAGATTTTTGTTCTGAAATGCAGCCAGGCCTCTCCAGCCCCAGGGCACTGCCCTTGCTCAGGGCCACATCATCTGTCCTCACAACGTCCTGACATCCTCCCTGTAACTACCCTCGCTCTAGCCTCCAAACTGACAGAGTAATTCTTCTCAAAACGCAAACCTTGCAACCGTTAGCTTCCATGGATAATCAAGATACGGCCCTACCAAGAACCGGTTGGGATTCAGATGCCCATGGTCTACACACAACACCGTAGTGTGACCTGTTTCTCTCCCACACCTCCGTGCATTTTGCATTGGCCCAGCTCTTGCTCCCCACGGTCCCTTCACCCTCCCCCTCCTTGCAAGCATCAGATCCCGAGGATCCACTCCGAGGTCACTACTTCCAGACAGCCACGTGTGACTCTCTCTGTGGCTCTCCTGTCCGGGCTCCCACAGAACTGGCCACACACTGCTGTTAGAGCATGTCACCATTTACAGGGACGGCCTGTTAACAGGTGCATCTTCAGCGGTCCCTGAGCTCTTGGTCGTCTTTGAACCCCAGTGCTTGGCACAGGGCGTGGCCTCTGCAGGTGGTGGGTGTTTGCTAAATGAAAGGACACGGACTGAGATCTGTGGCCGCCCAGTGAAGGGAGGGAAGCCTGTGATCAAAGGGCTGGAACGACTCTTTTGTTAACTGCAGAGTGAACCAAGGTGCCAGAAAAGTTAAAACAAGGATGGAGAGAGCTTAGGTTGCAACCCGTTTTTAAATTACTCATCACATCTGTTCTAGCTGAAGAACTTGAGCCAGCCTCCTTCGGCCTGTTCGTCAGAGTATTCCACGCTTGGGCACCCGCAAATGTCCCAGTCACAGGAAATACTTACAGAGAAGCTATCAGCTTTGAAAACGTAAATGTAAAAAGATGCCCAGGAACAGAATTTGCTAAATCATTTTTTCTGTTTAGCACATTCGACCACAATCTCAGACACACACAGTGGGTCTCACTGTACGCAACGTGCCGGGTCTGGAGTGGCAGTTTCCACAGACAGTTACAGTGGGGCTGCTCCCGTGTCTCATTCATGCGTTGATTCATTCGTTCATTTGTTCACACAGCACTAGGGGTCCACCACCAGCTGCGAACAGTGAAGGGTCCCCGGGGGTCCAGGCTTTCTATGGGGTTGGTGGGGGCAAACTACACACAGTATCCTGGGCACTTACTACTTAAATTCAGCCTGGTTCTCAGATGTGCTCAAGTTCCCCTTGTCCTCAGCAGGTTACAGGTCACCTCAAGGAGGCCCATCCAGCTGGGGGGGGGGGGCAGGCTAGGCACGGCCTGTGTCTGGCTGCAGTGCCCTTCACCATGCGGCACTCAGGGCAAGTTCCCTGCGGTTTTGTTGAAAGAGCATTTTCTAAGACGATTTGGAAGAAGACTGGAAATAAGTAGAAATCTAGCTCCTGCTTCAAGCAAAACTGCTGGGATTTGGGTGACTTGGTGTTAGGTCCCTTTCCACCAGGCCGAGGTGGGAAGGAGCCAGTGCCGGGAAGACCCTCCGTCCACCGCCCTTGGGGCTGCTGCTGGAGCCCTGACTTCAGGGTCTTCAAGGCGGGGTACCGGGGGAGCTCAATTAGAACGTAACAAACGACATTATAAACAACGGACCCATCTCAGCTCCGGCGGCTCCAGTAACCCCTCGCTGCCCCCAACCTTCACTGCGGGTCCCCACCCTGACTCCTGACCGCGCGGCACCCCTCTCGGCCTGCTCCCTCCCAACCCACGTCCGGCGGGCCTGGGCCCCACGCCCCCTCCCTCTCCCCCTCCCTCTCCCCCTGGGCCGGGTCCCCACCCACCCACCACGACCACCACGACCACCACCGCCCACCTCACCCGGGCCGGGTCCCCACCAGCCCCGGTCACCCCCCCACCCCGGCCTGCCTGGTCCCCACCTCCCCACGCCCACCCCAGCGCCGCTTCGGCTGGGTCCCCACGCCCCCTCCCATCCCGGGCACCGCCCACCGCAGCCCCGCCCCGCCCGGCCGGGCCCACGTGTCGGGCCCCACCCGGTGCCCGCGGCCCTTTAAACACCCCCACCCTACACAGCACCTCCCTTCCCGGACGGCAGCCGGAGAGGGACAAAACTCAGGGCGCACGGCCAGTTTCCTTCGCGACCACGTCCCGGCTGCCCAGCCCACCGGCCCTCTGCCCGGGCCACCGCCCCCTGGCGTCCCCAGCCCCGCGGGGAGTGTCGGCGCGGCCTCTGCGGGCGGGGCTGGGGGAAGCGCCGCGTCCTCCGCTGCCGCCTCCGCCCGCCGCCCGGCAGCCCGCCGCTGGGTGCGCTGCTCGCGGGGGGCGGCCGCGGTGCAGAGGTTCATGCAGCGGTGGCGGCGGCGGCGGCGGCAGAGGGACCGGGCTCCATGCGGCCGCCGCCGCCTCTCCGGCGAGGGGCGGGGGGCTCCGGCCCGAGGTGGGCGCCCCTCCTCGCAGCACCGCTCCCCTCCCTGCCCTCCACGCGGGCGCTGGAGCCGGTGGGGGCACCCACCCGCTCCTAGGAGCGCACGCTCCGCGCGCCCTGCCGGAGAGAGGGGCGGGCGTGGCGGGGGCGGGGGCGGGGGCGGGGGCAGGCAGCCGGGACCCCGCGTGGCGGCGGGAGGAGGGGGCTTCCCCAGAGGATGCCCGGCGGCGGCGCCCTGCTTCTAGGCGCGAGCTGAGCCGCCCCGGGCGCGGGCGGCGCGTCGCCATGCCGGCGTGACGGGCGCCCCCGGCTGCCCGCGCGGCCCCCGTGCCCCGTGCCGCGCCGGCCGGGAGGCAGGATGGGCTGCATCCAGAGCATCACCTGCAAGGCGCGGATCCGACGCGAGAACATCGTAGTGTACGATGTGTGCGCCACCATCGACCAGTGCCCCACGCGCATCGAGGAGACCTCGCCCATCGTCCTGCGCTACAAGACCCCCTACTTCAAAGCCTCGGCCCGCGTGGTCATGCCCCCCATCCCCCGCCACGAGACCTGGGTGGTGGGCTGGATCCAGGCGTGCAACCAGATGGAGTTCTTCAACACCTACAGCGACCTGGGCATGTAAGCGACCGGCCCCGTCTCTGCTCCCACCCCGACTTCCTCCCCAGCGCCTTCCCTCCGCTCTCCCCATCCTCTCTCTAAACCTTCCTCCCACCTCCCCTTCCACCTCCCTCCTCTCGGCGCTTTTGTTTCAGTGACAGGGCGGGCGTAGGGAGGCTCCTGGCGAAGGCTTTTCTCGTGGTTTGCGTCTGGCTCCCGGCGAACGCGAGGAGACGGTGCGGGGCGGAGAGAACGCGACAGGGAGGGCTCCAGAGACTTGGGTGGGGGTGGTGGCCAGTGCCCTGGGAGTTTCGGGGCGTCGTCTGTGGGTTGGGGGGCTTTCCGGGAAGAGTTTGGGGGACCTGTGGAGAGAAGAGGGTGGAGTGCGGGGGCACATGTGCTGCGCCGCGCGTCCTTTGGAGAACCCGAGAGTGCTTGGCGAAGCGGGCTCCGGGCGTCCGAGTGGGGCCGGGGGATTCTGCCCGTGTTCTTTCGGCTGAGTTCTAGCTCTTGTCCCCCAGGCCCGGAAGCCTGGAGACGTGTCCATCCGGAACCGCAAACGCGGCAGAACCACCCGTCCGGCTGGGCGCCCCCTGGCCGAGTTCTGGGCGGAGGGAGCGGAGGCACCGGGCGCGTCCGGGCCGAGCAGGGTTGGTGGCCTGTGTGAGCGTCTCTGGCTGGCGCGGTGCGCTGTGCGGTCTGCGCTCCCTGGCCTTGACTTGCTCCAGAACTTTCCTAATTGCGGCGCTGGGAGGGTGCCTTGGGTTCCCACCGCCAAACCTGGGAGCCCTCCGGCCCCGTTCAGCTGCGCCCCTCGGTGCGCGGCAGCGGAGAAGACCCAGCCTCCCGAGACTCGCCGGCCGCCAGGGGCCCACCGCCTGCTCAGACCGCAGGCTGGGGCGGCGGCGGCCAGGACTCTCTTATTTACTAAATGTTCATCATTCTCCACCAGTCTCCTTTCAGGAGTAGACTCTGAGCGGATGGCAGCTCCAGTGGCTGAAAGGTTTGGGGCCTGCAATCTGCCTTCTGTCCCAATGCAGGGCATCCTAATTAGCCTGCAGCCTACAGGGAGACCCTTCTCTGGAAAGCCAGCCTCGTTTCGTCTCTTAATCTAAAACTCTAGGACTCCCAGGTTCGTCCAGTGAATGTGGATATGGGTCAGACCATCTTTCCAGCAGCGGTTGGGTTAGCAGGCTTTCTGTTGCACTGAGAGCATGTACCTTCACACCAGCCATAGGTGCTAACAGGAACGTGGAACGCGCTTCTCCTCCCCAAAAGAGTTTGCACTTTTCCAGCATTAGAGCTCAAAGCAGGAGACAGCCCATCGGCTGAAGGTGTGTGAGGCCCGCGTCCTCAGTGCCCCCACACTGTGTTCTTGTCTTCCCTGAAGGCAGCTGATGTGAGAAATGGGAGGCATATTATTTCGGGGGAATCAGGTCATTTAAAAACAGACACACCCTCAAGAGAATCATTATATCTGAACACGTATCTCTTACCACTGTTTTTTGTTTGTTGGGTTGGCTAGTTGGTTGGTTTTGGTTCTGTTTTTGTTATTTAGAGACCCATTATTTCCAACCAAGGCAGAGAAAGGCCCAGGCAGGGCAAGGGTGCCCTCCCTTCAGTCTCCCCGGCCTGGCCCTGATGGCAGAGTGACCTGGATAGGGGTTGGTGGGCAGTGATTGGAGCCTGGGGCCCCTGTCGACGAGGCCAGAGGGACCGAACAGAGACAGCTTCATTTTTCCCAAGACCACACAGCCAGGGCTCTCGGTTGCCTCGCTCTCTCGTAAATAAGCAAGTGGAAAGCAAATGCGCAAAGAATTCTTTCCGTAAAAGAAAATGTGTCGGACCTCAGGAGAAGTCGAGGTGAGCGATGAACTTCCTGGAATCTGGGGGAGGGTGTGTCCGTGCTGGAGCCAACTTCAATGCTCGTGGGTCGGCGCCAGCCTTGGGGCTCTGGGGAACACGGATTTCCTGATCCTTCCTGCTGAGCCCTCACCTTCGGGGTTCGGGAACACTTTACAGGACTACTGTCCATATTTTAAGATTCTCGGTTTTCAAGTGGTTACCGCCGGGGAGCGAGCATAGTCCTCAGGAAGTCATAAAGCGTATTATTATAGCTGTGTGTCCACACTCGACCTGTCTCTTTGTGGCTGTCGTAATTGCCGAGCTTCGGGCCCCTTCGGAACCCAGGTTGGATTGAACCAGTTTCCACAAAGCGCTGATGCCCTGAAAACTTGGCCCATGCAAAGTTTGTAATGGGAGCTCAGATGGCATGAACGTTGCTGCCGTCTGTTGGCTTTTCTGTCCTCTTCAGCCAGCACCTTGAGTGGAAAAAGCAATCGAGGGCTTGTTATTATCTGAAGCATGATAGGATGAGAGGATCTGGGTTAGAAATGTGCCTTTTCACCCTGGCCAGTTTGGCTCAGCGGTTAGAGCGTCGGCCTATGGAACAGAGAGTCTCAGGTTTGGTTCCTGCTAAGGGCACGTACCTCAGTTGCAGTTTGTCCCCGGCCCAGGTTGGGGTCATGTGAGTGGCGACCACTCGAAGTATCTCTCTCCCATCGCTGTTTCTCTGTCTCCTTCCCCCCTCTCTTCCTCCGGCTCTATCTGAAGATAAATGTAAAAATGTCCTTGGATGAGGATAAAAAAAAAAAGAAAGAAAGAAATATGTCTTTTCAACGTTTTGAAAGGGACAGTGTCAGAGCAAATCCACAACCCAACATGGCAAGAAAACTCTGTTCCTGGGCTTAACAGAAAAAACATGAACTTGTGTGGTTGAAATGTTCAGCATGTCCAAGAATAGGCTTCTGAAAGAGTTGGTGATCGGGATGGTCAGAGCTTAACTTGAACTTGAAGTCTGTTCCAGTTAAGAACAGACTGAACCTGGAACTTCCTCCTATGACTGTAGAAGCCCGGGCAAGGATGAGCATGTGCCCCATTTGTCCTCCTGTGGCCCCTGAGCTGTGCTGCGCGTAGGCCCCTCCCCCAGGAAGGAAGGGCCATCGCTTTTCTCAGTCCCCCCCCGCCCCCCCCCGACAGCACGCATTTTCCAGGGGCCCCGGGTGTACAGTCCGCTGCAGAGAGATGGCAGGAATGAGCTGGCCGCGTCCCTGGTCCTCACTGTGGGAGGTGTATGGGGGGTGCTGGGGAGAGGCTGGGGGGCTGGGCAGAGGTATAAGCACTGGAGCTGGACTTGAGGCGTGGATGAGATTCAGCGGGGCAAGGAAGAGGGAACAGCAGATGCATGGAGGAGGGAGAAGAAGGGGTAGAGCAGGCTGGGGTGGAGCTCCCAAGTAGTGGACAGGGGGAGACGAGGTCCCAAAGGCGGGCCGGGGTGCGTCAGGAAAGGCCTAAGACAGTGCGATCTGGAGAAGCCCAGGTTGTGGTCAGGGTGTCAGGACCTCTTGAGCACACAGGGGCTTTTCAATAGGACATAAGTTCTTTAGGGTGGGAGTTTTGGATGCTAGAGTCCAACACCCAAGAGGTTTCCTGAGTGAGGTTTGAACCAGAAATGGAGTCGAGTGTCAAGGATGGAGAAGGTGATGCTGAGGCTGGGGGCGGGGAGCCGGCTGAGGCAAAAATCCTTCTCCGAGCCCATGCGCATGCGTTGCTCGAGCTGAACGGGAACTCGGGTCAGCCCAGGGCTGAGCGCGTGCAGAGCACAGGCCTGGGGGAGCTGGAGTCAGGAGGTCCTGGCTCAGTCCCGTCCTTCAGCTCCTGCCTGTCGCTCTGTCCCTCCCTCCGAGCCAACACCACTGACGCTCTGGCTCTGCCACGCCCCCCTGTGGCCCGTTCGGTTCCGTGCCAGCCAGTTTCCTCTGGCCCGAAATGGTTCTTGACCAGTTCGTCCGCGATGCCCATGGTACCAGGTGTGGGCCTCTCGCCTCTACAGTGCCCCACGAAGCCAGCAAGGTGCTCCATCCTGATCACTGCCATCTCGAGTGTCCCTGCTGTCTGTCCAGCATCCTCTGTCTCTGTCTCACCCAGAAATACAGTCCATCGGGACACTTCTCATTCTGCACTGTCCCTGGGAGAGTCCGTCCATCTCGGGCAGCCGATGGTCTCTGTGGCAGCAGTCGCCTGCAGCTCAGGGGTGTGTGTGTCTGCCCCAGATGTCCACTTGGCTGTCTGGATGACATCTCAAGCCGTGCATACTCAAACCTGACCTCTTGACCTCCACCGCAGCGCCCACCCCGAGTCTGCAGTGTCAGCCTAGATGCTCCCGGCACCTCCCACCCATCCCAGGTCCTGCTGACCACACCTCCAGGCTCGCTCCCCCCACGCCCCTCCCGATGGCACCCTTCCATCCCAGGACACGTCCCTGTCACTGGCTCCGACAGGCCTCCTGACCAGACTTGCCAGCCCAGACTGTTTCTCACTCAGTGCCAGAGCGAAGTTTTGAAGATGTCACTGCCTCACTGTGTCCATGCTGTGGGACAAACTTTGAAGGTGTCTTCCCACTCGCTGCATTTCTGTCCCCAAGCCACCTCTGCCTTTTTCCGTTTCTCCAAAGGGACCGGCTTGTCCCCAGCCCAGAGCTTTTCCACGTGCTGCCCTCTGTCCGGATACTCTTCTTGCCTGTCCTCTGTTAGCAAATGCCCGGTCTTCCTCCCCGCCAGCTCGGCAGAGACGCCACCAACTCCTCAGTGAGAGCTGTCCTGCTCCTTCACGGCACACTGTGCCCTCGCTCGTCACGGCTACTGAGAAGACGATGTGTGCCAAGTCCACGTGCAGCCTGTCCCCCGCCGACCGCGTGCAGCCCGACCCCCGCCGACCGTGCCCCGTGCAGCCTGTCCCCCGCCGACCACGTGCAATCTGTCCCCTGCCAACCGCGTGCAGCCCGACCCCTGCCGACCGTGCCCCGTGCAGCCCGACCGCCGCCAACCGTGCCCCGTGCAGCCTGTCCCCCGCCGACCACGTGCAGCCCGACCCCCGCTGACCGTGCCCCGTGCAGCCTGTCCCCCGCCGACCACGTGCAGCCCGACCCCTCCCCCGCCGACCATGTGCAATCTGTCCCCTGC